ATTTAGATTTCAATTATCATGTTAGTTTTGTGATTAGACTTGTGTCCTCCTGGAGTCAGACTCTCTCTCTCTCTCTCTCTCTCTCTCTCTCTCACACACACACATTGACTCTCTTCCTCTCCGCAATCAGATAGGATCTGATGAATTGCGTACGTAATTACGGAAGTTATTGAATATGCAGATCGCTGATGACTGTGGGTGTAGCTGTTCATAGTGCATTAACTCTGACTGTAGGAAAACGAGTGGCTCGCTCAAGACCCACTCGAGTAAAGAGAGAGAGAGGGGCCAGTGGACGTCATTAGCCTGAGATAATGGCGCGCTCAAAAGGGGGAAACTCAATTAAGACTCGCACAGTCCCATTATGATTGGCCTTGTTTTGCTCTGTGTTTGTGTGGCAGTGTTTGTGTGTGTGTGTGGGTGTGTGTGTGTGTGTAGAGGGACAGGCCCCGCTGCAGCTGCCACTCTCAGTCTCTGGCCAGGGCTTTGGCTGGAGCATTTTTGAAGGCGCTGCCCACACTGACCAGCGTGTTTTGAGCAGTTAGTGGAAGCTCTGTGTGTTGGCAGAGCTGCTGGGTGTTTATGGATTACTCAACATGAGGTATTTTCCCCTGACGCTCGTGACCACCATCCTCACGGGGCCCGCGATGTGACGTAATCACGGAGAGAGAGAGAGAGAGAGAGAGAGAGGGAGGGAGAACTTCTGGAACAGAGAACGAAAAAGAGAAAGAAGAATGGGGTAGGAAATTGTGACCACAGAGCTTAATGTGGCTGCTCTAGAACTGCGCAGTCCATGCTAAGCGCTAAGCCCACAGTTCTGATGGGTAATCACTGCACTTCTTACCCTTCTGAGCTCCTCAACCTTGCACGCACACTCACACAAACACCATACCCCTCCTGTTCACGTTCCATGCAGTTAAACAGACCGGGGTCTTTAAAGAGCGTGTGTACACACACACAATCACACCCTGCACTTGACTCTTGAGCTCATAACGTGACAGACACGATTACCGGGGAGCCAGACAGAAAAAGAGAGGCAGTTGCGAAAATGATTAAAGCGATGATCTCTCTTGTCCCGATAAAGCCTCCCTCTCAGAGTAAAGGGTCCGGCAAAGTGCGGGTGTTGGATTACCTGGGCTGTCACTCACCGACTTCGCTGATTCTGCCCTTGTTTTTGCTCAAGTGCATTTACTTTGCTGCTTTCTAGGTACTTTTTTTTTTATACTGATAACGGTACCGTATTTTTTTCTTTGAAAGCTGCTTAAGCTTAAAATAGATCATTTTAATGAATGGCCAATATAAGGCAATATGACGAAGTTTTATGATTATTGTGATAAACAGTGTGCATTTCTGAGCATATCAGGAATGTCTGTGCTTAAAGGACACTGACCATCTGCAAACTTCATTAAAAAGAGAGCATAATTAGTTGTAATGTGAGTTTTTATGTCATTTTTTACATGTGGCACTACCAGTGCATTGTGTCTGTGTGCCAGAAAATATTGCGTTGATATTATTGTCATATCACCCATCCTTAATGACCATATAGGCATTCTACTACCCTGCAGGAAGAAATACATAGTTATCGACACGACTTATGGAGAACTACAGCTGTTTTATTCAGAATTCTTTTCAGTTGGACTCAAATGGAGCGTGACTTTAAAATAATGGTAATTCTGTCATACTACTTCCTTAGCTACTCATTCTTCTTATTAACATTATACTATTATACAATAAACGTATATCACGTGACCTACTTTACTTTTATGTTATGTTGTTCTACAATTTTCAAGCTAGATTTGTTAAAATCTGATTTTCTTTTTTTCACCTCTGATTTTCTGCTGGTATCAGCCTGATTTCAGCAATGTAGATCAGATTGGTGCCATCTGTATTGCTTTCAGTTGAAACCAAGGGCCAAAAAATAGTTTGAGTCAGAGTTAGGATCTCCTGTTGTGTTTAATTCAGGATTTACTTAGAGAGAAGCCCTATGTATTTTTAGCAACGAGCATGTAGCAGCCATTTATAGCCCACAGCCCTGTTCCTGGACTGCCCGGCCACTGACGTGTGCGCAGGGTTTTTAGAAACACCCGAAGACCCACTCACACACGCACACACACTTCTATTTCTCATGCACACAATCATGCATTCACACACTCAGGGAATCTCAACTCCCTGGGGTGACCCTTACCTCAGAAAAGATTTAAAGCTCCTTAAATGCACGATGCATGTACGCCTCAAGCAGCGGCACATCACCCCCGGAAAACACACACCCACACACACTGCCTCACAAACAGTAATACAGTGGACTGCATCTTGTTTATTTATTGCATCTTTAGAAATGACTCCTAGCGGGCCTGTTTTCTGACTCACGCAACCTCACACACTTTGCATTGTATCTGCCTAAATGACTTGCTGTTAAATATTTACCCTTAAACTGTCTCCATTTGTTGGTGCGGTGACACCAGAACGCGACTGAGCCAGCATCTGTCGGCATTACGCTTTCATATCGCTGCATAAAACGCGTTGTTTGTCGCCTTTAAAAGGCAGCACCTTTATGAATAATATAGCGCTTGGTTTCAAGTGGAAACACTTAGAAGTTGGCTTCATAAAAGATAAATTCCGAAGTTTGTTTTCGCTCCAGAATGACAAGGAGAACAGTTAGGAAGCACAAAGTCAGTAAACGAAATGAGCTCATCAAGAGTGCTGATGAAATTTTTACTGAGTGTTTCAAAAAAAAAACAAAAAAAAAACGCTGCTTTTGATTTTACAATGGCCGTAAGCCTTATTGAGTCTGGGTAAGGTCATTAAGCCTTTAATTAGCTAATGACATCTGTAATAAACATAAACTTTGCTTAATACGTTCCAAGTGCAGGATTTCAGATTCCTCACAGATGCTGGTCCTGCTTTCTAGGCAGGTGAGCACTGAATAACTAGCGGAGATTAACTTGCGACCTTGTGTGTTTGAGTGAAAGAAACTTAGGCTGGGGCTGTGCCACTTTCTGTGGCTATGACAGGCCTGGCTTGCAGTAGTTAAGACTCTGTGAGCAGCTTTAGCCCCTGGCCACTGTTAGCCTGCTTCATGTATATTATTAGGTTAATAGGATTGCACTTGTTTACACCAACTCCCGGCTTAATGTGAGGTCAAAGAAGGAGCTTAAACTTGTGTAATTGGCCTATTAAGAGAGCTCGAGCCGCATTGTAGTGGATGTTTAAAACACACACACACACATACACACACACACCAAGGTGCCCTCTGACAGAGGACAGTGTGTGGTGGGCATGGGCTAGCTGCGTGGTCGTTGTGTTTTTTAGCTCTCTGATAACACGCGTATTGCGAAAGGCGACCTTTGTCAGTGCTTGGCTATTGTTTGCAGATTGGTTGCACACTCCACAGGCTGTGAAAGACACATCTGCTGCCTTGCGCCGGGAGAGGGAGAGGGAGAGGTGAAGCGAGGGATAGAGGGATGGGGAGAAAAGGAGAGGAGGGAAGTGTGGTTGTGGGAGGACTCCCGCGCTGCCCCAGTCCCTATCCGCTTATCAAATATTTGTCTGGCCTTCACTAGCTATTTACCTTCCCTCTGTTTGCTTTGCTTATTTAAGCCTCCCTGAGCTAGACAGACACAATGTTACCAAAGACTAGATTCGATAGGCTTCCTTTAATGTATTATTCACCTCTGGGGAATGAGATGGTGTCAGTTCCTCAGAGGAAGTTCATTGTATTATTTTTTTTTCCTTTTTTTCTTTTTTACAGTGTACACTTTTGTATTTTGCTTGTTTTTTTGCTTTTTTTGTTTCCTTTTTCCGTCTTACCTTCCCTTTTATCTTTAACCCTTAGAAGACAAGAGCTTTATATAAAAATACAAACATAACTACATGACGAATTACATAGTTCCATAAGGAATAACGTGTACATTCATGGTTTATATTCTGCATCACCGGATTGTAGTCTGGGCAAATGACAAGCATGTGCCTAAAGTGTATAGGATTTAATTTATAATAGAAATATCCTTCTGGCTGTATGCTCAATAAGACCTTTATCAATTTTAAATCATAAAAAAGCATCTCATCTATCTAGGAACTTAAATATGGTATTGATTGAAACTTTAGAATGTACACTTTCAACAAAATTTCTATGCTTGTTTCGATGAGCTGTCAGCTGTCAGTTCAAACTATACCACGCCTTTTTGCTATCACCCGTGTTAATGGCACCATCTATAGGTTAACCACATGAACCCAATGAGCCCACTACTAGGCCCAAAAACAAAAAAAGCTTCTTATGTTTGCTGCTAGAGGAGTTACGCTGCATGCACATCCCCGCTGGCAACAGTAAGATCATTTTATTGATTTCGGCATGTAGGACTGGAGCTTTCTGTGTGTTACTTTGTTTTCTATCACTGTATAAAATATGCACAAGGCTTCCTTACTTGTTGGATGCACTTCTTTTGAGAGATGAACTCATTCAGCGTGCACTTGTTACCTTTTTATCATTGATTTGTTTAATTAGAGCAATGACTGACATGTGACTTACTCCTCTTCATGTGTTTTCTTGTTCAAAATCGTATTTTGTAACACTAACTGAATAAAAATTAGCTGTTTTTTTTACAACTGTTAGATTATGTTCTTTACATATGAAATAAATGCAAAAGGAGTAGATTACACGGCATGAATCACCACTTTTTTGTGTCAGCCTTAAAGGGTTAAGCACTGAAGTACACTAGTTAATAAGGTTTCTATTTATTAAGGCTGAATGTTGTGAATCTTACACAGCCTTAAAGTCCCCTTTGTGGAGAGCGTGCTAGCTGACCAACAGAAGTAGTGTTACTGCCACCTTCTTCACCCTCCCCTCAATAATAAGCCTTCTTCGGAATGTCTTCAGTCCCTGACTTAAAATGTACTTATTTAGTATGTTCCTGATTGATTCAGCAATTGTGATGTGCAGAGCCATTCTTGAACATATATATATATATATACAGACACACACAAAGGGCTCTTTGTGCTCTTGGCAGAGTGAGGAAGATGAGGGGAGTGTGGTTGAGATTACCCGATCATTTCATATTGGTCCCGGACGAGCCCCCAAACTGAGTGCCGGCTGCTTGGAGCAGGAGGCTGCGGTGGCGGAGAACCACAACAGAGGCTGCAGCCGGCTTGCGCGTGGAACCAGAGCGCCGTGGCCAGCAGCCAGAGACAGATACGCACCACCCCTGTCACACACTCGCGGTTTTTTAAAAGAAAGCAATTTAGTTAATGATTTCATTCCGAAAGCTTGTCATGACGCATGCGTCTGTGTCTGCCAGGAAAAGAAGGGGAGAGGGGAAAAAAAAACGAATGGGGAAAAAGAAAAGAAAGAGGGCAAGACAGAGAGTCACAAATGAACGCGTTAGTCAACATGACTACTCCTGACGACTAACTGCCTGTGGTTGCAGCAGAGCTCATGTTACCGAGCAGTGAGGAAAGCGTTCGCCTTGCCACCATCACTGGCACAGGAAGCCGCTCACTAACCATTTTGGGGTTTGTTTATCTGCAGACTGCAGTCTCAGAGATTTTTTTTCCCTGTTTGTTTTGAGCATTTTTAAGAGGCTACTGTGTCGTTTCATGTTGCCGTGAAGCAGGGTGAGTTAGCGGAGGCAAGAGAGCGAGTGGTTAGATACTTGGTTAAATGGTGAGCGGACGAGACATTTTCTGTATCAGTCAGCGGCTAATTCAGTAACGTGCCTGTTCTCCAGGCTGGAGCGGAATCCGCTTCAGGTTTTTTTTTTTCTGTTCAACCATGTCTGTCAGCTCCTAGTTTTATTAGAGCTGTGTTTCACTGTGTTTCACATTTCACTTTTTACGGCTTTTTTCTTTGGGTGCTGCTCTGTGAACTGGCCCCATCTTAGCATTGCTAAAACGCAGGCCCTGTCCGTGGCTTTGCTGAAGCAGATTTTAGGGCAATTACACAGATCAATGGTAGAACTCCTGCTCTCGCAAAAGCCTTCCCGCTTTTTTTGTGTAGCCTGTCAATCATGTAGCTAACTTCTAACCACCTCCAAACAGGCCAGGGTGCCGAGCGCATTCGTTTAGTTGGGCGTTTTTTATTCAGACCTCCTGTCTGACCTGTCACCCTGGCCACACGCCGTTGCCCATGCTCTCCATTCAACAGGGGCTGTTGAATTGGTTTCTGCGCCTTAAGTCAGCAATCAATGTCAGTTTCCCCCAAAATAATAAGGCTTAATCATAAATCGCCGAGGTGTGGCCTGACTGACCCTGCAATTCATCAGGCTTCTTAACATGGCCTCATCTGGGTGGAGCAAATGAACTACCCCTGTTTTGATTTTCCGATTGACGTGTCACATGAAATGCGGCTTCTCTGCGCCCATCCCCGGTCTTTTTTCCCATCTTTCCTCATCCTCTGTTCTTCCCTGCCTTCTCCATACCTTATGTCATAGAAAAAGTCCCTGCTGGACTACAGTTATTCTACTGTCCTTTATGGGTGGACCCAGTCACCCTGGGAAGAGAAACTCAGCAGACACGAGGGTAAAGAAAAGGGAAAAAAAAAAAAGAACAAACGCACAGACAAAAAGTGCCCAGAGAAGAATTAGGGATGGGGCTAGTGGTGACTAATGAGCTGTTGTCCATCCCAAAAGCCCCAAAATAGAGCAGCTTAATCAAAGCAGCATTGAAGGTAATTTCCTCAATTTTCTCCCCCCACTGAAATCTCATTTATGAGATGAGAATGGAAGGGAACAAAACTGCTTTTCTTTGCATTAGACGCTGCAAATTTTCCAATTTGGGTGAGCAGCCTGGCGAGAAGGCCTCCTATTTTTGGAAGAGAAAGGAATTAGAGGAATAGTTGCTGGAGAAAGCCGGCCAGTGTACGCCGGCATTCCAGATGTCCGAATGGCAGTTGTACCAACCCAAGTGTTTTTTTTTTTCTTCTTCTTCTTCTTCTTTTTTTCTGGGCACTGTCTGCCAATGATGACCTCATGAGGTCCAGGCTGAAGACTGTAGGCACACAGTTCTTGCTGCCGCTGGCTAGAAGAACCGTACTCTTTTCATAGCACCATTCATTTTGTCCAATTCTCTTGCCATTCCTGTCACCGCAAAATTACTCCCTCATAATTAGCCATTGTTCCTGTGTTTTTTTGGGCCTTTCCTTCTCATTTTTCCCCCTCTATCTCTTTTCTATCAGGGCCCCCTTTTCTTTTTCCTCTTTCCTGCTCTTTCTCCCCTCCTCTGTCTTCTGTAAGCTTATTGTATCTCAATTAAAAACAGACTTGGGATCTTTCTGACTGTGAAATACCACCAACGTTGTTTTAAGCCCAACTACCCCCCTCAACCAAAAAAACAAAAACAAAAACAAAACACAAAAAAGCACTCCATCCACCCTTATAGTGGACTGTGGGAGATTTTACACTTGGTTAGTTGACGCACAGCTCTTTCTCAGGAAAGTCCAGCGTTTCGAAGACAACTTTATAAATGACAGAAAAGGCCTGTCCCTGAATACTGCTTTGTTTACTGTTTTTCCAAAAAGGGGCCCATGCTATATTTCATCTGTCAGAGTTGCTTTTCTGTCCACTAACAATGCTTAATTGTTTCCCCAAAAAAAGAAATCGTGCCTGTATGTGTGTGTGTGACAGAGAGAGAGACACGGAGAGAGAGAGAGAGAGAGAGAGAGAGAATTCAGGTTCCATAGACAGGAGAATTCTGTATTATATTTTCCTGCCAAATTCCAAACTCTGTTTTCCTTCCCCTGTGCTCACAAAGGACTCATAACTTACTGTCAACTGCAAGGCAAACCACAAAGCTCCACTGTTGCTCAGCTAATAGGCTGTGCTGCTTGATGGCTTTGACTGGCTGTAAAGTTTGCTTAACTGCAGTGGCAGTGACAGAAGGCACTTTGGGAACTGCATCCCCCAAAAGGCCCCGACTTCTCCTACTTGCTCAGAGAGAGAGAGAGAGAGAGAGAGAGAGGGAGAGAGAGAGAGAGAGAATGAGCAAGTGAAAGAGAGAGAGAGAGAAAAAAAACAACAAGCAGCTTTTCTTGTCTCTGAATCTCCTCCAGCGGGGCGAGAGAGAGAGCTTGTGTGTGAGTGGCGGAGCTTAGCGGCCACTCTGCTGGTTCTTCTGCTCCACGAGTGTGCGGTTAAGCGTGTGTGTTTGCTCCGCTTTCCTTGAATGTGTGCTGAGAGAGCGTTACGCGGGCCTGGGACGACTGAGCTGCCTGTGCGCGCCGGAGTGTGTGTGTGGGGGGGAGGGGGCACTTTTCGGATTTGAGGAGTTATAATGCCATCCAGCGCTGAAGTGGTGACCGGAAGACAGCAGAGAGGGCCAGTTGCCGAGCAAGTAGAGGAGGACAGTCTGTGAGTGTTTACTGATTTGTTACCTGCTCTCTCTCTTTTTTTTCTCGCTCACTCTCTCTCTCTCTCTCTCACACACACACACACACACACACACACACACACAAACACACACACACACACACACACAGGACAGAAACAAGGCTCCTGGTCTCACCCCGCAATGGAAGTTAGTTAAAGTGAAATTCAGTCAGACCCTCCAACAGGATATTATTTCTTCTAATTCTTTTAATTTACTGTGCGAAGTAATTTTCTGCCGTCTGCTCAATATCTGAAGTGCACTTTGGGAAGAGGCTGCCTTCATTTGCTTGCTTTAAGCAGCCTTTTAAGTGTTCTTCTGAGCTCCGCGAAAGTGCCGGATATTTAACTGAGAAACGTACGCGAGAGAGAGGGAGAGAAATGAAGCAGCGCTGTCATAATTAAGTTGACTTTTTGAGGGGGTATAGGTCAACATTTATGGAGGAACAATTTAAACAAATTAATTTGGACAACTCTTGAGGTGCTCTTTCAAAGCGGAGGTATTTCTCCATCCACCATTTGGCCTATTTCAGCATCATCATCCATAATTGCTTATCGCACTTCAGTTTCGGTCCATTAAAACTTAAGTTGCCTGTTTTTTTCCAACTTAATGGCTGTGGACAAACAATGAATGACTGGAAAGTATTCGAGTATAAATAGTAAAAAAAAGTATTTTTCCCTTATCCATTTATTGCCATCAGAAATCATTTTCAAGGGAAAAAAGGGTTGGAATGCTGCTGATTTCTTTGAGCTGCATTAGAGAAAAAAGAAAAATTCCAGCCATGATAAATAAAGCTGAGGGCGGACTGCAAAGCAGCGCTAGCGGTTCCTGCCGGATTCGCATGCCAGTCTGGGTATGTCAGACGAGTCGAGCTGCTCCTCGCTCTCTCCGGCTCCTCTTGGAAGTACAAGGCGTGAGTGAGAATGAGCCGCTCTCGATTGATTTCCGTTTATGCTGTGCACTCGCTACCCAGGAGTGTGTGTTTTGAAGATCTCTGTCTTTCTCTCCCTCTCTCTTTATTCTCCTCTCTCCCGCTCTCTCCCATAATAACGTATGGATGGGTTCACTGTGCAGTAACACCGGTGATAATTTAATTGTGCTAAATGGAGCTGGCTGTGTTGGTAATTTTTCAGCCGGTTGGCTTTGACAGGTAACAGAGAGCTGATTACGGGAGGTGAGGACACCGAGGGCCTTGTCACCTGTGTGAGAGGAGAGCTTCTTTCATAAACACACACACACACACGCACACACACACACACACACTCTGTCTTGCACTCTTTTTATCACTGAGTCACTGAGACATTTGAGTTGGTTTGGCTCATAGTGAGACTTTGTATATGTTGACTTGGTTTGTCTGGTGGTGGTTTGCTTCGGTTACTTTGTGTAAACTGGTGTTGAGAGTGACATAGAAAAAAGGTTAGATTTGTATAAAAGCCAGTTATGGAAGGATTTGGAGTTTCAAAAGTGACTGGCAATCAGACATGTGCTTAATCTGATGACAGCATGTGTATGCTCTTCATAGGAATCTGCATGAGACATTTACTGTTAATCATTTATTACAAGTGGAAATACACCATTCTACTCAAAAAAGTGCTTTACATTCATTAATTTTGGCATTGCTAATCTCACAGACAGATCATTTTGCTTTTATGGTTTGGTTTAGAAAACGTGTAGAAAAGATCTTCAGCGGAATCTGCATCTCCGAAATCCTCAGAAACCCGACTTTGCTTTTAAGGACTTATTTTCCCAAGTATTCTTTCTAGTTTCTTTTTTTTGTTTTTGTGCATTGTGGGTAGTTATAATTGCTATTCCAGTTTTGTTTTTGTTCTTTTTATGTGTGTGTGTGTGTGTGTGTAGAGTTGCATGCACCAGTGCGTATATACAAGTGTGAGTGCCTGTGTACGCTAGTGCACACGTGCCGCTGTGTGTAACCCATGGAAACTTGAAGCCCCATCATAAAGCAGCTTTTGCTGTTTCTCAGTTCGCCCATCGTTAGCTCCGGAACAATGGCCTTCTTGTTTTTGCTCCCCTCCAATTTTTCATTTTCATTTGATTATTTCTCTTCCTATACGTCTGGGAGGTGGTGTTTCTTTTGGGGGGAGAGAAAAAGTGGGGTCTAATATTTTCCTCCTGGGTTGACCTATGATTTAGGGGACTGAAGGCTGGGGAGGAGGGTGTCTGAGACATGGTGGGGGTATAGCTTCAACGGCATAGCTCAGGAGTTACTTATCACCATTGTCTATAAAAGGTCAACAGTAAGAGACGACTCACACAGCAGGGTGAGAGAGAGAGAGAGCGGGGGGCTTGTTACGATTGAGGGGGTGAAAGTGGATATCCTAAGACACATGGCCCCCGAGTCATAAGACCTTCAGGGCACACCAGTGCATAGGGAGAGGATGGGGCGTCATGGGTGGGATGGGGTGGGGGGGCTTCTAATGCCTCTAACCAATTAAACAGAGGTTGGTGCATGATGAAACATTAGCACTGGCAACAATTCATGAGTCAAAGCATTCCGGGCCACATGAGCCCCCTGTGGCCCAAGAACGTAACCCTTAATCCTTTTAAAACATGCTGCAATATTGTCAGCTATATATAGGGCCCTTCTCTGTTTGCTTCCCCTCTTCTCTGGGCATCCGAATGAGGCGGGGGAGAGAGACGAGCCATGCTCCCCCTCCAGTTATTGATTAGTTTGGTTTGTTCGCTGTCCATTGTTATTGTGTAATCGAGCGTAAGCTGAAAAAGGCTTGTCAGGAATTCATATGCAAGCCACTTTGGCCTGGCCTGATATATTCTCTCCTTAATATGCACAAAGGCAGACGTATCTGACTTATTTACTGGAGAAACAGACTGAATTATTAATCAGAATAAAGGAAAGCGAGGGTGTGTGAGGGTGATTTGACTGTGCTGTTGCGCGAGTCCGTCTATGTGCAGCTCGTCAGCTCAGCGTAGAAAGGGGAATTTAATTAAATAAAATATGGTGGTGTTTTCACACGCGAGGGGTGTTTTACATGTTTATCATGCCCCCCCATCATACACAGCCTCATAACTTAAATTCTGGGATTCTGTTTTATGGTCTGGGGGGTAGAGGAAATTATTTTCGAGTGATTAAAAGAGACAGAAGCACACAGACCTGTCAGAAAACCCACCCACTGTCCAGCCTTTTAAATTTGGTTTGTGCCATGTTGGCCTATTTTCCTACATTGTTTCACTATCATGACTGTACCAGAAGGGAGGTGTATGGTGAGGTTGGCTTCTTGGTCATGCAGTCGGGGCCCGCGGGGTGTCGGTATACGGACTGTATATGTGTGTGTATGCAAGACGAAGAGGGGAAAGCCACGAGCCCAAACCCCAGCAAAACTCTTTGCCTTGGCTGCGCACACTCACACACACACGGCCCTCCCAGCTCTCCTCATAAATTATTAACTCCAACTGACAAATACTGTTACGGAGCCCGGGCGCAGATCTGTTGCATTTTCTAACAAGATTGCTGTAGACACATGTTACGGGAGGATGGAGTCAGCCCCTCTCTCTCTCTCTCTCTCTCTCTCTTTCTGCCTCCCTCCCTCTCTCACTTCCGCGCTCTCATGCCTCAGCAGTTTGACTGATGGCAGGAGACTGGAGGAAAAGTGCCTGAGAGACTGAATATTTTAGAGGTAAAATAATACCACTTGATTTACTGTGTAATACAAAAGAAGTGCTTTGTTTCACTTGCACTCAATTGAAGACGAGGGATTGGTGGGGGGGGTTGGTGTGCAGGCAGCTTTAGCTGTTTGAGTCCATGCATAAAAAATGGGGGCAGAATCGCCAGTCTTGCTCTGTCTCCAAGCCCCCCACCAAACCTCTCCCTCAGGGTGTGCCAGGGTCTTGTTCTCCTCCTTGTTCCTCCCCTGGCACCAAGTGTGAGTGCACTGAACTTTGCTCCGAATTTTGATTTTCAATTAACACTCCACAAGTCCAGAGATCAGTCTGTATTCGGCATAATTACAGGAAACAATTTATTGGCTGATTAAAATTGAGGGTTGGGGTTGCTTAGGAAAACAGAAGCATGGAGTGGTCTGGGTCTCCTGCTCCGTTCCCCCCCCCTTGCGCTAACCGACAGATACTGTGTTTACACAGCTGCTGATTAACATCCACTGGCTTCTATTGTGCACTTTTTGCCCGCTGTAACGCGGCTGATCTTAGACTTTGTGTATATGTGACCGCGTGATCCAGTATGGGTATCACGGACACCCTCATTGTTCAGGGCCACAGGAGCCACTTGTGCCTGTGAGCTCACTTAATGAACTGTATTTAACAATTCATATGGAGAGTGCAAGCCGGCTTAAGTGCTCAGCGATGTGTGCAAATGGATGGCACATCTTCAAATGAAGTAGTCATTCTTTAGAGCGCCCGAGAGCCATCGAGACCTGACAGGCCTGTACGGCTCACACATCCCTCGTGTGGGTGTTGTAGTGGGGGCAGATGAGGGGGAAGGAGCGGGGCTACGGCTGCGGCACACGTGAACAGATTAACGCGCAGTTTGGCGTTGAAATAATCTCTCCCTGTGTCAGATTTGTTTTCATCCCCCGATGGACCCCATGCTGGAAAACTTGGCAGAGCTGGGAGATGGAGTTCTGGAGGCACCTTGGGCTGCCTTCATTACCCAGCCTGCCTCTGTCTCATCTCCCAGCAGTCTCAGTGGGCAACGGGAGGACATTAGTGCGCGGCAGAACCTTGACCCAGAACGCCCGTGCCCTCTGTGCCCAATGCCAACTCGGCCAATGCCGGGCCTTTGGCCGGCTGTATCAGGTCACCCTTCACTTTCCACAACTCACTCATTCGGTAGTGCGTCACAGGCCCTGCTGGCTAATAGGCAGTCCTGTGTGTGTGGCATCCTGAGGTGATGTTTTGATTGTGGGATATCCAGCGTAGATAAACCACACAAAGCAGGCAGAGGGAAAGGGGATTAGGAGTAAACATGCACTGGTTGCTTTTCAGCACTTCAGATCAGTAGGAAAGCTTTATGATTCCGTTATTTATACCCAGAGCTTAATTAGATTAGCACCCTCTGTATTAATTTCCCCCCATTGTACTGAACAGTATGAGAGCAGCTGTATTGTTTTGGATGGGAATGAACACTAAGCTTTCAGAGGCTAGACATAAAAGAAAGAAAAGAAAAGAAAAGCAGCTTAAAAAAGGCATCCGTTTTTTTTTGTACCTGATACATTAGGCACACCACTCACTGCAATATTCATGAAAGGCATGTGACAGATTTGTAAATTTTGTTTTCTGCTGCTTGGCTTTTGGCTGCTCTTTAATTCGAGTTTATTTGCCTGGAGAAATAGCGCAGTACTAAAATCTTAATGATTTGCTAATTTGTAGAGGATGAAAATGAAGAGTTGGATTTTATGCTCTGGCATGATGACTTGTTGAAATCAATTAATTTACCAGCGAAGTTGGAAATTCCCATTCGCTGTAACTTTTCACGCAAACGACCCACTTTTGCTCCATCAACCTACGGTGATTAATGCTTACCATCGAAAAAAAGTAGAAAAGCACTATTTCAGATGTCTCCTGCAATATGAACCTAAGCAGCACGTTTTGGATGTTTATTGACTAATTATAGATGTCTAAATGAAATCTCTCCGCAATGCTTGGCGGTGTTGGAGCTTTAATAAGAGTGCGTTATATGGTATGGTAACCCTCTTAGCGTGGTAATCAGCCACGGGGTGGGAGACTGGGCCTGCTGTAGGCAGCACTCCAGCCTAGCTCAGCATGGCCATTTACATTAAACAAAGGATTAAAAGGGACCCCAGTGCCTGCCGGTGCTCCTGCACTCAGGCGGAGAGCTATTGATAGGATCTTTGAGGCTCGGATGCAGGTTCAGTCCTGGGGTCAGATGGAGTGACTGAGCTGGCCAAGTTCATGTACATGTCAGCATATGGGTTTAAAGACAGTAAGAAAATAAATAGACATGAATTTAATTAATAAATATTCTTTATGTGTGGCATACAAACTTTTCTTGATCTCTCCTGTGAATGTTAACCATATTTGCTGTGATCACATTTGCGCTGTCCTTATTTCAAAAGGATCGTCCAAAAAAAAAGATCCTCCTTGAATCTATAGACATGTAAATCTCTGACTTAATGATTCAATTTAATAATTAATAAATAATTAATAACTTGTGACTGGAGGAACTGTCGTACACAGTCGTTTTTAAGCTTGAAAGAGTATTGAGCATGTTTTAATAAATAATATTAAAATCTAATTAAATCTTTAACAGTCTTTATGCAGTTAAATTACCACCTTCACAACACTACAGCATTTTCACACCCCTGCTAACCTCCCATATGTCTTTCTCACTGTCTTCCCCACTTTTTTTTCTTCCAGCAGAATCATGTCTTCCAAACAAGCCACCTCTCCGTTCGCCGCAGGCCCGGACGGCGGCGAGGACGGAGCGAGTCAGGAGCATCTGGCCTGGGAGAAGGAGGAGAGTGCAGAGGCACTAGCCGCACCCCAACTGCCTCTGCACAACCTGCTGCACGGCAAGCCGCACCCCGAGGAGCTGCCGCCCGTTAGCAGCAGCGTGCCCCAAGAATCGGACTGGGACAGCCTGCAGCGCATGGTGAGACTACATCCCACATCTTCCGCAGCCTCCAGTGCCAGGCATTTATATGCACAGGCCCTGGTAACATGGCCGCACAGCATTTTATAGGCTTCAGATACTTGTTGGTGTTTCCGAATGAGTACTTGAATACTAGTTTTCAATACTCCCCCCTAAACACCATAATATTTACATTTTGTAATTAACCATAATTTTTAAATGTGTTCATTTCCTTTAGATTTTGTAATCCATATATTAATTTTTCGATTTGTAATAAACAGTTACGTGTTTATTTACATGTTTATTTTTGTAATGGGCATCTAAAAGGATCTGAGACAGATGTGCTGTATTGTTATGTCAGATAAGGAGATTAGTAGACTGGATTTTTGTTTACTTACCTAGATAGCAGAGATCATACATAAGTTCAAGACTTAAATCCTTAAAAATTTAATAGAGTTATTTGAATGTTTTTTTACTAATTTCGTATTGAATTTCATATGTTCATAACAGGAATCAGCTAAACAGTTTAGCTAGCCTGCTATCTAATCTGTCTCTCATCTCTAAAACTGACTGAGGACATGCTCACCTTCCTGACCTGAATGTTGTTCAACAGTCAGCACTATAGCCAAACAAATTCATGAATATTTGGCTGTTTCGCTTTTTTTAATGTTTTGTTTTGCCATTTTTACATCTTTTTCTAACTTAGTTCAGTCTTTTAAAGAAAACATGTGACATTCAGCTTTTAACTAAGCTTACCTGGCTATGACGTAATTTTTCATAGCCTAATATAACGTCCAATGTTAAGCAATTGCCAAGTTTCTTAATTTTCTGATTTATAATTAAATATTTTGCTTAAAACAGTCATAATTAAGCCTGCAACTCTGAATTGTCAGGAAACCAAAGGAATTCTGGTGGGGTCTAAAAGGTGAACAAAAGATGAAGCTTCCAAATACTAAATAAGGAAATAAATATAAACATAACAAACTCACAAGTACCTGTTACCCCATCCACTCTAGTTCTTTGTTAATGTATAGTGGACGCGTGTTTGTGAGCAGGGTTGTATTATACAGTTTTTTTCGATGGCCAGGAGGTGTTCAGAGGTGGACAGAGGTGAGGTGCGCTGCATAGGGCTGAGGTAGGCTGTAGACGTAGGCTGTTATTTTCCACCCGTGACCTCTTGCATTTGGATGGAGGCCGAGACTTTTAATGGAACTCTACTGTCAGAGCTCAGAGAAGGGAGTAAGCTGAGAGGCACATGCCACTGTCTGTTCTTTCTCTCTCTCACACTTACACAAAACTCTGCGTCTCGAGATGGATCCTCACCCCAAGGACACTGTCAGAACAGAGCAGCCCCCCCGGAACCCTTCTGAAAGAAGACTTAAGATCTTGCATTTTGCCAAGCGCTCGCCTTTGAAGTCCTAAGCCGTCCACAAGTGTAAAAGTCGCGGAGAACAACGTATTGAATTGCATTGCGCGTCAGAGTGATTTTATGAATCTATAAATAGAGAAACAATGAGAGAGTAGGACTGGGAGTCCGTGGGAGTGTGTGTGGTGTGTGCATGGGACGGCCCAGACCTCTACAAGCCTGCCTCCCTCTCTCCTCAGCCGTGGTCCCGCTAGGCTAAGAGGCAGCGGGCCCAGACCCAGGCCTGAGAGGCCCTCATTGTTTGCTGCTCGTAAAAAGGGAATTCTCCACAAAACCCCTCTCCTTTCCTCTCCTCCTGCTGGCCCACGGCCAGCTAATCCTGCACGACCCAGCAGAGTAGGTCCACAGACACATCAGCACCAAGACATACTGCTGGAAGAAGCCAGCACGAGCTGGAGCATTGATATTTTCAGCATCCAGAATATTTCTGAATGTGTCTTTGCTCTTCATGTAAGCGAAAAGGAAGTGACCTTTTCAGTATCATAAGCATCTCAGTGACATTCCAGAAACATCCCCGCTAGCCTGTAAGTTAATGCTGCTGGACTGCTGTCTGGAACACCTGACTGAGCAGAGGATTCTTTGATATGAGAGGAGAGAAGAGCAGACAGGCACAGGCACTTGTAGGCAGACACAGCATGGGCAGGTGTTTCCAGCAAACCAAGTGAAGGAGCCAGCCAGCAAGCAATTCCAGAAGGCCTCAGGGCTCTACTCTGGCCTCTGCTTCTGTCTTTTTTTTTTTTTTTGTTTTGTCCATACAGGATTTGCCCAGATCCTGGGTGGGCTCTCCAGCCTGTCTCTCCCATGTAAATGTGGCCAGGCAGCGGTGCACAGCTCAGGTGCTCCCTATTACAGCACGCCTAATTGGATTACAGAGAGGTTTTTCGTGATTGGTGTAATTAGAAAAGCGTTTCAAAGAATTTTCGCTGCATTGTCTCGGGCTAAGCGGGCCGATCTCTCGGCTCCCTCTTGATATAATGAGGGAAAGGCGTATGAAAAGTTAATTGTGTTCATTTGATCTTTGAGAGCGGGTTGCTTGTGTTTCATTTGCATACGCTGGACGTTTTTTGTTCTACAAGCTATGTTCTGTTCTCTGATGAAGATGCAGTGTTTCTAGGTGATTGATTTTTTTTCCTTTGATGAGGTAAAAAACATGATTTTGAAATGCTTTTCTAAACGTGAATTTTAAAAATAATCGATTGCCAGTGTGACTTTAGACGTTGGCACAGTGAGTAAACTTTTACTGGGTAGTTGTACTGAATACTGTGACAGTAACAGAAGTTGGTTAGGCTATAGAAGATCAACAGAGGAGGTTACAAGCGAGCAAACGAGAGCAGGGAGGAGAAGATTGCCGGAGTGTGGAGAGGAGAAGTAAGAATGACTCTAAATGAGCAGGGAGAGCGAGCAGCAGAAAGAGAGAGAGGGGTGTGCCTGTAGCCTCTGTTGATTACCTGTCTGCCCTGCTGTGCCGGGCGTCTGTGTGGCCAGTGCTCTGAGCCTGTGCCAGCTGATTACCCTGAATTACCTCACCCCCTACCGGCCTGGCCGCCGTGCGCTGCTGCCGCATAATCACCCTGCCCTAGTGCCCGTCTGTGCCCGGGACACCACGCTGCAGTGAGAGAATCCTGCCGTGTTGCTCTACATGTATATCTGCCAAACGCTCTCAGCTCTTAGCATTCCTGCATATTTGCAGGGATTAGTAGCTCTGTATACGATGGAGCAATCCGGTACTCTTCTCCTGGCCTCCGCCTTCCAGAACCATCCCAGAATTCTTTTCTGCAAGGCCTCTGCCCCTCGTCAATCATCCGCTGCCTGCGTTTCACAACTCTCCGTTTTGGGAGGAGCTGGAACCACCGCCGTAGAGTAAGAATGCAGACTGTGTTAGTGTGAGCCTTTCGTTTAACTGTAGATTTTTTTTTTCTTTCCTCACCATTTGTTTTCACTCAGAGGTCTCGTAGGGTCTGCTTACTCTCTCTCTCTCTTTCTCAAACACAAACACAATTTTAGCTGCAGAAGACAGCGGAGTTACCTGAGCTGTGTGCAGTAGCGGACCCATAGCCTCCTGCTCCCCTTTAAGTGGAAGCGGAGAGTACAGCTATCAGCCCACGACAAGAGCCCAGTTAACCACTAAACCACACACAGGTGGGATCGCAAAACAACAGCAGCTCCAGACAGGGCCCAGATTTATGATGGCCCGCGGGGTTCAGCAAAGAGCAGCCAGCCACTCGGAGGACCGGCAAATTGCTCGGCACTCAAAGCCGACTCGAACAACACTTTGAAATGAAATTGCACTGACTTCTTTTGCTGCAGTTGTGTGTGGGAAGAAAGAAAACGGTGGAAAAAAAAACGCTGTTAACCACTATTGATCTACTCTCTGCAAGACCTAATCTTTTGACAATGTGTTAGTGAATTGTGTTGCACCGAAATGCACTTCTTTTACTTCTTTTACTTACACTTATCTTTTTTTTTGGGAAAGGGTATAATAGAGTGATTTTTTGTCATTTTTCTCCCATTTTTTTCAGCATGTAAAAAAGATCTAGGCAGTATGTATTTTGATAATTCAGAGCTGAGGCATATGGGAAAAGACTTGAGGCTCAAACGGCTTTGCACTCAAAACAATCTCCCTCTCTCCTCTTCTCCCCCGCTCTTTGTTTTCCTCCAGGAGTCGGACAGCAATAAAGTATGTTCCCTGTACTCCTTCCGGAATAACTCTACCTCTCCGCACAAGCCAGAGGAGGGGGCGAGGGAGCGGGGCGACCTGCTGGGCAGCTCTGCCTTTGGAACACCCGAGCGCCGGAAAGGCAGCCTGGCCGACGTGGTGGACACACTGAAACAGAAGAAACTGGAGGAGATGACAAAGACAGAGCAAGACGGTATGGGAGGCCTCAATATGTTTGTGTGTGTGTGTGTGTGTGTGTGTTAGTGTGAGTGCGTGCGTGTGGGCATCTGTGTTTATATGTGTACATGCACAAGTGCCTCATTCATGGCTTTACCAAAAGCACACAAGCTGTGCATGGACTGCTTCAGGCATATATCAGTGTCCTCACTGAATGTTCTCTATGTGTCTAAGTCTCTCTCTCCTCTCTCTCTCCTCTCTCTCTCTCTCTTTCTCAGTGTGTTTCTCTTTTCCTTCTCCATACTCATTTTCACACATACTCCATCTTCCTTCTTTACACACACACACACATGCATACATAGAGGCACACACACACACAAGTCCTCTAACCTGGGAGGACTGACGTGGCTATGTTTCCAGTTTGTTCTGAACCGGCTCCAGTGTGACAAAGAGTGGGTGGCACTACACCTCAGCTTAAGTGTGGTCTCCGAGCCGCGCCAAGCCAAACTCTCAGGCCGTAAAACACACGCCACCGACCCGACGCCAGGAACATTACCTTTTTATTCTTCAGCACAGACGACAGCATTCATCCCACAAATTCAACTACCCACTAGCCAAAATAGGTCCAAAAAAGTCTTATTTTCCTCTGTATGTGCCTGGAGGGTCCTCTAATGCTATCCAAAGATTTACCAATTAACATTATATATATATATGTATGTACTGTCCATGCATGTCTATTGATTAGGATTTCTCCAGATTTAAAGATTTTATCAGATTTTTGTTGAATAGAATCCAACTAGTTTCCATAATAAAGACAGCCGCCTAATTAATTTGTGATACCACAGTTTTAGTTATTTTTGGATCTCGAAAAATTCTAAACTGGAATTTGATACTGGCAGTGTTACGCTGTGGAGAGTGCCTTCGAGCTCCCGGCGTCGCACCCTGAACCACCCAGTCCTTCGGGAGCCAGGAGGATGACAGGAAAACAAATATTGAAAATAGTTGCTGTAATAGTTCCTCCACTCTTAATTAGAACGATGTAGGACTGTATACAATCAAACATGCTACACACACACACACACACACACACACACACACACACACACATACACACACAGCTCCCTAGGGACGTACTCAATTCAGTTAAATATCTAGGGAACTCTTAGCTTAAACACTGCATCACAGGAATAAATTAGACCTTAATTCAACTAAAATAATTTTGTCTCCATGTTTTTTTTCTTCTCCTCTGCTGATCTTTGTAATAATGTATTCTTAGTTGCCGACGTTCTTTTGCAGTTTAACAAAGGTTGAAGAAATATTTTGAATGCAAGGAAAGGCATATTTTCGTACACAGATATTGATGAGTGGTCTTCTGTCTCAAACCTGTTATTTTCTTATTCATAATTAATTTAAACACGCTGACAGGTTATGCATTTTCATAAAGTAGTTTTTTTCACCTTGAGTGATTAATGCTGCAATATTATTGTGAGCTTCTATTAGAAAGCAATTTTTTTAGGGGTGCACTGATATGGAAATTGTAGGCTGGTGCTGATTTCCATAAATATATAAAATATAATCTGTATTTTGTATGTACTTATCTGCCAAAGCTGATACCAATTTTGAGACATAACCATTAATAAAATGTTGTAATCGAATCTACCAGACAAATTTGTCTCTTATTTGTGTTGGGTTACAAATGCAGTAAAATAAATAAAATGCTGATATTTTATCGCAGTAGCCCAGTGTCACCCTAACTTTCTGCCAAATATTGGTTCGAAATAAAAGTCATATATAGTTGTCTGCATAATGGCAATATTTAATTTCTTTCATTTTATAATGCTAATATTTTATATATTTTTTTAAATAATAATTTATTTTATTGAATATATTTAAAGTCAGATATCTGTCAATACCAGCACGATTCTGATACCATTGTGCATCCCTCGTTTTTTATACTAAAAAAAAAAAAAATATTTTCAACCTTTTTTACTGGCTGTTTCAGAATCCAGAGAACAAATTACGACAAAGTGCAGTGTTCCAGTTAATGATGGTTGCAGGTTTATATACCATTTTTGATGTGATTCCCTCTGGCTTGTGTCCCTGATTAACCGTGTCCACTGCAGGCTCTCCACAGTACAGATGACTCTCACGCACGATAGTTTGTCCTCTCCTTTCTGATGGGGCTTTTTTAAGATGCGGTGCTCTCCTCTCAGCCCTCGGTGGCTGGGGCGATATGCTAATGAGCCCCAGCTGGTATGGCCGGTTGTTGCAGTAATTTAAATGGTCAAGTGCGGCTTGTAATCCTGAAGGCCGTATGTTTAGTGCGGTGAGGAGAGGGTGCTTCAATTCTAGTGTACAGCTGTGTTAATCTGGCTTTAATAATGGAGACGGAGCCAGCCTCATGCCCCAACACCTCACGCTGCCCGAAATAAACTCCCTTGTTGCAGGGAAATTAGTTCCCGAGCTCGGGCGAGACAAGAGCCTTCGCAAAGTTCAACGTGTTAGTGGTAAGCTGTTGGAATGGAGAGGTTCAGTGTCCTTGAGGAGGGCCAACTGAAGCTTTCTCTGAGACTTTGAGTGCTTGCGATTACTGTAAATTACTGGGGATCGGAGGCTAATTTTTGTGTAGTGGGCTCTGCAGCTGTGTGGGGAAACCTGCAGTTTGCAAGCCTTAAATGTTGGGATTAACCCTTTTCTTGACTCTGAATGCCATTCAGAGCGGGGTAGGCTGTCTTGACAATGTGACTGATGTGAGACAAAGAGCAGACAGGCTAAAAATACTGCTCATCTTAGCCTGATATTAGATGAACAACTGTTGTTCTTAATCCCGTACTGTTTTAGGTCAGTCTCTCTTTGAAGATCAAGATACTTTGATACTATACAATAGGCTATAGTTTATAGTGCATATCATCACTGCCATATCAAACCCTTATAATATTATATATTATTTATTATTATTTAGTGTTTCCCTGCTTGAAAATACTAGTTGCCCTTTACATTGCATGAACATTTTATTCTTCTCTGAATTGAAATTGTCCGAAATTACTTTACGTGTTACATTAACAGACATCAAAGCTAAGAGCGTTATTTCTCCTATGAAGTTGCCCTGTCAGAGATATGAGGTTTTATTATGACAGCCACTCTGTGTTGAGGATTTATCTTGCTCAGTCACTCTGTTTGCTGTGCTGTACTTCTCCACAGTAGCGTTTGGCTAAAGGCGGTATCATTAAGAATCATTTAAGGTGGTCTGGTCAATACAGCATTATAACAGACGACACACACTCCCTTTTCTCTATCCCCTCACACTTAATTAAATGTGTATTGCAAGACCGAGAGTCAACCGCTCTCAAATTCAATCAGACCTATTAGAACTGGACCGCGAGGAAGTCGAGCCCGACTGTCATCTCGCCGCTCCCTGCTTTGAACCCGGCTGTCCTGTGGCCAATCGCCTCCATCCCTCCTCCTCACCCTCCCCACCCTCCCATCCCTCCACTCTTCTAACAGGTCCTTAAAGTGCTTTAAGTGCTTGTGACCGCTCTAATGAATGAAAATGTCCTCCCCAGGCCCGGAGGACTGCATTAAGCTGAATAGTCACCTTCACTGTAAAAGCTCCTCCAGGGTCGGCCGGGCTGCCGGGAGGCCTAACGATTGTGTCCGCTGCTTATTTACCGGCTATTGTAAAATGCATTATTTATGGAGAACTCTCCAGACGACACTTGTCAAGAGTTAAAAATGTCAAGACTAAGTCGGAGAAAAAAATAAAACAGGGGGTTGGAAGAAATAAATGAATATGGGGAAGAAAAAAATTAGCATCCATTACAGATTCAAGGTGACCTTGAGCAGAGGTTCACAAGCAGTTTAAGCAAGCTTTATGTAATGCACTGAAGTAGTAATCAATAAAAATAAATGATAATATAAGGATCCTCCTTCTGTTAGGTGTGTGCTCGTCTCTTTTGAATCTATAAACTCTTTTGTTGTCGTCGTCTTCTCCTTTTCTCTCCACCAACCGGGCTTTAAGTGTTACTAAAGCACGGCTGGGCTCAAACTCCTCTGGCCTTGAATAGATTTGTTAGCAATTATATGAACAAACTTCTCTTGTGTACACTGAGTGGCATGCTTAGACATGGCCCTATTCTCTCTCTCAGTGGCTTGCTCAACACAATGGCGCACAGCTTTTTTTTTGTATATGTGCAGGCAGGCATTTCAGGACGAGCGAGCCGTCCCGTCTTGATTCTGAAGCGGCAGCGGAATTTCTGACAATACACCCAAGCCGTGCTGTTTTAATGGTCCAATCCCACAGCACTTGGACAGGAGCAAGCTACTGAGCTGGGCCTAGTTAAGAAAGCCCACAGCTTACTCTAGTCTGGGCATCAGAGAGCATCCACCTCTGCCAGCGTAGTCAGCAGTCTTGTTCTGGCAGGATTGGCCGTGGCTCCTGGTAAAAGCTTGTTAGCCACTAATCTGTACTTAGAGCTGCGCTTGTTTGAATGGAATCATTACGTGTTTCGGTCTGATGTGTGGCAGAGGTTCAGAGTGGTGGCTGATAGAGAGACATGCTGTCATTGCTCTATAATGTGGAGTCGCAGTGTCATTGTTCTGATTATGCCAAGTATAACATACAGTGTCCCATTGTAAAGCTTAAATTTTAGGATAGATCATTAAAAATGCATCTGGAGGCAGTTCGGTTGCATAGATATGAAATGGCTATGAATAAATACAAATACAATTGTAATCAATTATAGTAATATTTAATGCAGTATGCATTGTTACCTACTGTTAAGGCTATTTTAAAATGTAATGTATATTAATGTAAAATAGTGCCTCCAGTCGCATTGTTGTATTAAATGTATTATTAAAAATAATCAGATGAAATCATGGTAAAATTTTAGATTTCATGATTCATTGAATTGTTTCTTAAGTAATTGTAATGAAGTCTAGTCCTTGTGAGGTCAGAGATTTAGCCATTATGTAGGTTTATATATATTTTGTCGCCCTAATAATTTTAGGGAACTATGTATATTTTATTTTTAAAACGTT